GGGGGACTCTGGGCGGTTTACATCAAGTTAAAACAATAAATACATGATTAAAATTTATAAGTTACGATGGTGTTGAACAAAGGGACTTACAACCAGTCCTCACACTTACCACCACTGTAGCACCCCCATGGTCACATGATCTGGGTACTTGGCAACCAGCTTGCACTTAGGATAGGGTCACGTGACCACCATTTGCGACCTTCCCAGCTGGCTTCCGGCAAGCAAAATCAATGGGGAACTGTGTGATTTGCTTAATGACCACATGATTCGCTTAACAGCCACAGTGATTCACTTAATGACCATGGCAAAAAGGTGATAAAATTGGGTGCAACTCACTTAACAACCACTCCGCTTAACAACAAATGTTATGGTCCCTATTGTGGTCATTAAGCGAGGACTACCTGTAAGAACAAATAGTTTGGGTCTCTTAAAATACAATAATAGTTGATAGAATTAACTCATGTGTTCAGCTGTGAACGATTGCTGGCTATCATTTATAAAGTAAACAAGTGATATATGTGCTTGTGTGAACAAACGTGAAAAAACAGAGCTCTTCCAGAGGACATTTAATTAGATAGCACCATTGGTATTTCATATCACTATGCATTGCTCCAGTTTAGTTTTATTTTGGTGGAATTGTTTTTAATTTTATATGCATTTCATAGTGGATATTTTTTGTGCACTCTGACAAGAGTTGCGGGATTGTGGTAGTATAAAAATAAACAAAAAATTAAGCGAATAACCAAGGTGATTTTAAAAACTAAACATATGCTTGATGTACAAGATAGTTATATTCTCTTTGCCTCATGCTGTACCTCCCTCAAGATTTGAATCCGTTAGCCACTCCAGCTGGGAATTTTAGGTGTTAAACTTTGAACATTTCTGGAAGGATAATCAATGGAATCAAAACGGATTTATGCTGTATGTGGACCCACCTTGATAAATATATGCATTCTTATAACAATATTGAGACTGTTCCTCGTCATGCCCTCTTTTTCTCATGGCAGTCTTTCCATTAAATATGCTTGAAAAAAATAGCATGAGCTATCTAGTTACTCTTCTAATAGATCTAAACTTTCTCCTTTTATTTCTTTATAGGTTAGTCTTACCTCTAGTATTTTATTCTTCTGTCCTTCATTTACTTTTCCAGCCAGACAACAATGGGCAAGTGCATTTTGGATGATGTGCTTATTGGATTTTGCACTGGGTTCTTTGTAGAGCTTTGGTCCTAATTAAGAGAAAGAGAGAGACAGAGAGAAAGAGGGTGTCAAACAAGGTCAATATGGCTTAGAAAAACAAGCCTTAAATACCATGATTATTTTTCCTATTATCATTTTAGTTAACAAAAATTAGGTACTGTATATACCTAGGATGAACATCTGTCAACCTGCAAACAAAAAAAGTCAGAGCAGCACTAAAGTGGTCTGGTCTTTCATATATTTCATATACTATTTTAATAAACTTTTAAAAAGTGGGGGGAGGAAACTTTAAAAAAAAGGTTATATGGAAAAAGGAGAAAAGAGAACCCTGAGGATTCCTTCTACTAGGGCTTTCATACCATCCTGGACAGTCTCAGTTTGTCTGCAAGCTGGCAGCTGCTCTCTGTCACAAGACTTCTTCACTGGATCACTGCCGCTGTTGTCTCCTTGGTAGAGATCTCCTGCAGGGCCTCTCTTTAGGCTACCTGATCCTCACACCAGTCTTCTTTGGGCAGATCTGGTAGGCCTGAACTGCTGTGTCACTTACCACCCCTGGATCGCTTCCTAGGCCTCCCTCCCTGGATCACTTCTGGCTTCCCATGCCAAAACGTGCTGATGAAAATCATCATTTTGCAACCAAATTTCAATGATATGATCTGGGGCCTCTGAAAGTTGTAAAAAAGGGCTGGTGGGGCCTGCATGTGGATTGAGGATCATGGATTGCTTACCTCTACCACCCACAGAAATGCACGATTCCCAGATAAAAGTGAAGAAACATGATTCCAATGGAAGGAATAGCTGGCCATACTGCAGTATGTCTGCAGTGAGTGGAAGATTGGTAGAGAAGGTGAAGGGAAGGGTAAAGAATTTATTATTATATTCTTCTCAGTTGAAAACCAAAACATGCTCACAGGAAGAAATGGACCAAGTCAACGTTTTTTCCCCTTAGGATAATTTTGTTTTCCAAGGACTTTTCTTCAAACTACAGTTGTAACACCAACCTGTATATTCTGTAGCAGAAGCTACTGAAGAAGTAGTTGATGCATTTTCCCAGTCTTTTTCCCCATTACGACTACCACAACAACTTGGAGATAAGAATCCTTCCACAGACTCAGACCTAAAATATGCATATAAACAAACAGAAAACATTCAGTGTTGATAATAATACGTTTGCTTTTCAACACTAAAGTGAAAAATATATGTGGAAACAGCTAAAGGTGAATATGAGAGATGCCACATGGAAGCAAGTGATCTAACAACAGCTTATTTCTTCTAAGTGTCTAGAATATAGATTCTATTTATTTAATGTATAACACAGCTTTCCATTCAACTGATTCTATTTACTTCTTTAATTTATAACATAGCTTTCCATTTAACTGGATGCTCAAGATAATTAAATCTGAAATTAAAATCTGACAATTGAAATAAAATTTTGCATGTTTACAAAATACACACACAAAAATATCAGTCAATAATCCAGTATTATCAGAAATTTGCCTACTTTTTATAAAAACCAGATTGTGCAGGCTAGATAATCGAAGGTACCATTATCTGTAACCTATATTTCAGAGATGCAGTTAATATTTAGCATCAACATTTGACAAATCTGATTTGATAACATACATATTAAGCTTTTCCTGTTTTCATAGATTTAACAGGATCAGTAATTTCTTGATAAGATTAAAGTGTAGCTAGGTAGGCATATATAATCTTTGGAATAACTATGTTCTACAAAAATTGATTAATTTCATCCTTTATTTTTGACTTAGTAGTATATAATCAACAACGAAAATAAAAAAGTGTTTTATTAAATAGAAGTCATTGTACATTGCCTTTTTTTTAAGTAATGGGGAAGTAGGGGCATTAGTTTGGATCAGCTAAACCTGATCAGGTTTTAAATCATCTGAATTATTGCAAGAAGAATTTAATTTGCCCAAAATTGCAAGATGACAATGTAATAAATTAAAAGATTTGTGGTTCCATAATTTGGTCCAGGTGCAGTAGAGGCATCTAAACTCTTAATTCTATGGTTAATATTGGTATCTATTTTGGGTTATTTTAAGTCTACAGTATTGTTCCATAAACAGTTAAATGCATTGTTAAGCTAGATATTAATTTTCTGC